TAATAATTCTAATCTCATTTGGCCTTTTCACGCATTTCAGTCCCGCTTAGTCATTTATACTATCTATCCTTCTGTAAACTAATCATTTAATTTATAAATTTTTAGTTCATCTCACTGCAATTGATAATCAATTTATAGGAATAGGGTCTCGCTAAATTTATTAGTTGAAGTGAAGATTGATCTGAAGAAATAGTGTTCTGAAATTATAAAGATTTAAATACATCTATAATTGGAGATAATGTTATACGTTGTAATTTTAGTGGATAAGAATTCAATAATTTAGATATCAGTTGTGTATATTAGTTGTGGGCAATAGGTATCTTTCTCTTATAGGGAACTACTATAGCATCTTGTAGCAGGGATAACTCTATCCGATTATGGAATGTTTAGACAGGGTAATAAAAAGCAAAATTTGATGGTCATTTATGGGCAATATAATCGGTAAGCTTCTCCAATAAATTAGCATTTAGTTATGACATTTTTAAATTAATAACAGCTTACACCACATTAGATTTTTTGAATAAATGACCTCCAATTAACGAAGTTTTAGAGATTATTTTTTTTTAATTCTAACATAAATTAAAATTATTTTAAGACTATTCCATATATGTTTATCAAGTCACTTTTATATTATCATTTTGTTTGTATCAAAAGATTATAACAATAACTTATATAAGAAAATTCAATAGAAAAAAGATGGATATTAAAAGTATTAGGATGTTCATTTCTAAAAATTTTTATTAATATAATAGAAATCAAACTTAAAGTAAAAGAAAAGATTAATTGAAGAAAAAACAAATTATCAAAAAGACTTTTTACCGACCTAAAACATTTATCACTCAAAAAATATTTCCTATATTTGTAATTGTAAGTAACAAAAGTTACCAAATTTTAATCCTTAGGTATCAATAAATTAAATAAAAAATTCTATCTAAAGTTAATGACCTCTGTCAAAAATATTCATACGAATTTACACTTCAAAAATCATTTCAAAATAAAGCTATCTCAATCAAACAATGCCACTTTATTTTGTATTTTGACCTAAACGCACACATTTATGAACTAAATTTTCAGTTTTATAAACTTTTCTGAATATATAATACAATAAATACAGGCAAAAGTAAGAGCAGAAATATTAAAAACCAACTCTTTGTTTCTTGATCTATTTTTAATCTAAGGGACTCGAGTATTAATTGAAATATATGTGGGGGTAGTTATTAAAAAATATGTAAATATTAA